TTAGTTTTTTAAGATGAAGCATTAGGTTGTTTATTTGGGCTTGTTCTTGTTTTGGAGGTAGGCCTGTAGTGATGTGAACTTTCCTCTTATTACTGCTTTGCCAGGTCCCAAAAATTTTTATACACTGTACTATTATCATTTGTTTCTATGTATTTCTTGATTTCTCTTTTTATTTCTTCTCTGACCTAGTTTCTTTAATAGCATGTTGTTTAATCTCCATGTATATGTGTTTATTCCCTCTTTCTTTTCAGTTGATCTCCAGCTTCAAAGCATTATGATCAGATGAATATGGCTGGTATGATTTCAACCGTCTTATATTTGTTAAGGCTGTCTCTCTGTCCCAATATATTGCCAGTCCTTGAGAATGTTCTGTATGCACTGGAGAAGAATGTATAAATAGCCGTTTTGGGATGAGAGGCTCTGTAAATGTCAATCGTGTCTAGTTGGTCTAATGTGTCATTTAAGGATGTTATTTCCTTAATTAATTTTCTTTTTAGATGATCTGTCCATATCCGACAGTGGGGTATTTAGGTCCCCTACTACGATAGTGTTTTGGTCTTTTTCTCCCTTTAGTTTTGTTAGTAATTGCTTTACATATTTCAGGGCTTTCTAATTGGGAGCGTAGATGTTGATAAGTGTTATGTTGTCTTGGTGCATGAGTCCCTTTATCATTATGAAGTGTCCCTCAGTATCTTTCTTTACCTTTTTTATTTTGAAGTCTATTTCATCCGATGTTACTGCTACTCCCGCTTTTCTCTGAATGCCATTTGATTGAAAAACCATTTTCCACTCTTTTACTTTGAGTCTATATTTGTCTTTGGAACTGAGATGTGTCTCCTGGAGGCAGCTTATGGTTGGGTTTTGTTTTTTTTATCCAATCTGCAACTCTGCCTTTTTATTGGTGAGTTCAGTCTATTTACATTTAAGGTGATTATTGAAATATGAAGTCTTACAGCCAATTTATCTTTTGCTTTCTGGTAGCTCGATGTTTCCTTGTCTTGTTTCTCTTTTTCTTTATAATGGTTGGGTTTTGTGGGTTTTCCCTCTGGTCTTTCTTGTTTTATATTATATAGTTCATTTCTGAATCTTTGGCCTGTGGTTACCATTACGAATATGTAAAAGATAGTTATATATATAGTCGTCCATTTTCTTCTGTTTGTGCCTTACATCCAGTCCCTTTTGCGAATTTGGATCTTTGAGTTCTCCTCTTTTCAGTCATTGTTGTCTCAGGTTGTCCCTAAGTATGATGAATGTTCATTACTGTCTTGCCATAGCAAATTTCTTCTTCTTGTTTAAGCTTATAATGCCTTGGTTTTAGTAAGGGTTGCATTCCTCTGCTTGCATCTGCCTGCTGGTCACCTTACTCCTAATTACTTATCTTTTTCTCATTTTGTTTTAGGTGAGCTGACCCCTTTCAGTATTTCCTGTAATGCAGGCCTCATAATTTTTGTATGTCTGGAAAGGTCTTTAGTTCTTCTTTATGTCTAACGGAGAGCTTTGCTGGATACATTATTCTTGGCTGGGAGTTCCTTTCATATGATATTTTGAATATTTGATTCCAATTCCTTTCTAGCTTGTAAGATTTATGCTTAGTCTGATCATAATCTAATGGGTTTTCTTTAATGGGTTAGCTTCTTCTTTTCTCTGGCTGCCCTGAGAATTCTTTCTTTGTCATTGATTTTGATAATTTTAATACATTGTTTCTTGGAGAAGGCCTTTTTGGGTTGACATAATTCGGTGTTCTGTTGACTTCTTGAATTCCAGGCTCCAGCTCATTCCTTGATTTTGGGAAATTCTCGTCCACTATTTGTCTGAAAATGCTTTCTAATTCTTACTCCTTTTCCTCCCCTTTGAGAATGCCCATTATTCTTATGTCTCCTCTCCTGATGGTATCAGCTAGTTCTTGTATTTCTCTTTCATGACTTTTCATTCTTTGGTTTCTCTCTTTTTCCTTCTGATTTATTTCTAGGTTTCTGTCTTCAATATCACTAATCCTGTCCTACATTTGGCAACTCTATTTTCAAGCTTGCTATTTCATTTTTCATCTGTTGCAGTGTGTTCTTCATCTCTAGAGGTTCCATTTGGTTCTTTTTGAGGGTTTCAGTCTCCTTGATAGAGAATTTGTTTTGCTCATCTAGTTGTTTTTTTCAATTCCTGAAATTGTATATATGAATTGTTTTGTATGTCACTGATTTTTTTCAGAAGTACCATCCTGCATCCTCTGTTATTTAAGTCCCATATTTCTATGTCTTTAAGCTTATTTTCTGGTGAATTTTCCTTTTCTTTCTGAGCTGCCTTACCACCTTGGTTGTTCATGGTGTTTAATGGACTTTTTATCCTCCTGCGCATTAATGGAAGTATATTCTGATTTTTATTTCCCCAGAAAGATTTATTTTATAAAGTTCTCTTTAGCCTGTTGCAAAGAAGGCATTTTTCTTTCGATTTCCAGTAGGTGGCGTCTAAGCCTCTTGGGTCCCTGCTTTATATAAAGTCTTAATAATGCCTTTTTTCCCTTATTTAATCACGCTCACTACCCTCATTCTCAGTCCCTGTCAGTGTTAGCGACAGTTTCAGTAGCATTTGTTCAGATTTCCCGGAGGCTCCACGGTGTTCTGAATGGGAGGATATAGGGGGATGGGTTGTCTGGGTTGGGGGATGGGGCTGCCACTCAGCCTGGGATTTTGCAGCTGTGGTTGGTAACAATCAACTATTGTTTCTCAGACTTTCCCTTTTCTCTGCTCTCTGTCCTAATGCCTGGGCATCGCTGCGGGCCACATGACGCTCACAGCTCTCCCAGCCAGACTGGCTGTTCAGGGAACTCGCAACACCTTCTCCCCTTCCTTTCCTCCTACAGAGAGCTCCAGCTACAAGAGGTAACTTCTTTATTTCTCCTATTCTATCGCCTGACTTCTGAGGTTCTGACCTGTCATAGCTGTTATGCAGAGATTTGACAGTCAGAGGTGCTGTGCAGTTTGGGTATTTTTTGTAGTTTTAGATGTTTAGCTTATTATTCTTTCAAGGGGAGAGATCTGGGGATGTCTCTCATTTCATCATGTGTCTGACCGCATAATCCATTTGTTTACATTTATAGTAATTATTGAGATATGAGGACTTAGTACTGTCATTTCGTTCATTGTTTTCTGACTCTTTTGTATTCTGTTGTATTCATTTCTGATTTGATAAGTTTCAGTATCATTATGCTTTGATTTTTTTTGTCATGTTCTTTGTGTAACTATTATAATTTTTTCTTCTGTGTCTTGAGTCTTATATATAATACATTATGATTTTAATACCTAATTTAAACTGATTCCTTTATAGCATTACTAAACTTTACACTTCTCCCCCTCACATTTTATATTAATGATATTATAGTTTGCATATTTGTTATGTTAATTGGCAGCTTGTGCTAATCAGACTGGCAGTTATAAATGGAAACCTAGTTAGTAAACTTTTTTGCCCCCCCTTTGATTTCGCCTCCCCCATTTCCACCCCTGACCTATGGATGTTGCCATTTCCCCTTAAGGACTGGATCTCTGAAGGCAGGGTGTCTCCTCCCTGACACTTGCGACATGTACCTGGGGCCTGGCGCAGCCGGAGCCTGGCACCCTGGCACCCCTGGCACACTCAGAGGGTCTGGCAAACCCAGAGCCTGGCACACCCGGAGTATGGTCCATGGCTCCACCTGGTGTGTGAAGCCAGTTCCTTCTGTATGCAAAACAGATGTGATAACTACTATACTGTGGAGCCACCCCAGTAAATTTTTAATAGAAAAAGTTTTGAAACAAATTTATTGTAAAAAATTAATAACAGGTCGTTGTCATCAATTGGGTTAAATCATCTTCAAGGCCACTTGCATATAGGTCTCCTTATTAGAATGGTGTTATATATTATACTTAGAATCATTCAGTACTGATGTTGCCTGCTCCTCCTCCCTCCTTTTTTGGATGTTTTAATATTCTGCAAAAATATGTAAAATTACAAAATTATTTTGGAGAGAAAAGGTAACCTTTAATGTGAATGTTTGAAGATCTTTCTACTATGATATAAACATAAGTCAGTATTATTATTTTTACTGAAGGCAAATCAAATACTCAACCTCAGCAGTAATAAGAGTATTTCATATTAAAATAAGGTATTTTATACCTACCAGGCATAAATTTATTAATTTCAAGAATGAGTGAATAAGCATAAATTAGTAAAAGCATTTCAGATAGTAATTTGTCAATACATGTGAAGTTGAAGAGACTTTTAACCTCATTTCATGCATCTCTGGTTGTGTCTAGTGGAGAAATCATCACGTTCCCAATAGAGATGAGTTCAAGAACAAACGACTGTAGCACAGTTTGATTCGAAATTGAAAGCAATTCTTTAGCCATCATTAGAAGCATTGATAAATAAATTTTATTATTTGTTGAATTCAGTGTACAGTACTTAAGTGGTTAATTTTTGCTTTGTCTTTAAAAGTATGTGATATAGGCATAGAAAACATTTTTTTAACACGTAATACATGTTACATATAGTTTATAAATATATGTATATCCACATATAGTTAACATAAACATAAATGCATATGTATGTACATAATGTGTTTATATTTTATATCACACATCTATATATGCTTCCACTTTATGTATATGTGTATATATGTTTGTGTTTAGGAGTTAAGGAATATAACCAATCTCAGAATAATACTCACCTATAGGACAAAGGAGAGAAAATAATAGGATGGAAGGGCTCTAACATTTACAATAAAGTAAAACTATAACATTTTACTTATATTTTAAAATATTAGTCAACAGAGATTAAGTCATTAAGGCCTGCAATGGTGCTACATATTCAGATATATATATTTACTAGAAGTGAGAGTAGGCTAGTACATCTGTTTTAGAATCTTTGAATAATGTTAGCATGGACAAAATGCATAACTGAATGGTTTCTTTTCCTTAGGTTTTGTTTGTTTGTTTTTTGTTTTAATGATAGAATTCTTCATTGCTCCTTAGGTCAGCTGTAACTTGGAACCTCATCTGAGAGGCAATGTATATGTTCAGTATCAGTCGTAAGTATTTTGAACATAAATGTCTTCATGTTTTATAAAGTATAGTGTTTATTTCGTAAAGCATAGTGTTTCTTTAACTTCGACCTCTAGATTATTCTAGTGAATAAATATCTTTCCTATGAATGATATATTTTTTTAATGTAAACATCAAGAGCTAATACAGAAAATATATTGCATTTGTTGTAAATTTATATGGTTTTGAATCTTTTTCAGTGTGATAATACATGATTTGGAAATTAAAATACAAAGCCCAATAAAAAGTAAAATAAAGAATATAGAAGTATAAGTTTGAAAGTACTAGAAATTGAAGGCCGAATAAATCTAAGGTGAATTTGACCGACAAGAAAACAAAATATATCATTGCTTTGTCTTGATATTTGCCCATACCATTCCATAGCTAATTGATTAAATTAACCAGTGTAGTATGAACAGCAGCCATCCTAGACGTGACAAACAGGTTCTACCAGTGGAAAATTTGCATTTTGAGAAAATTTTTGCATTTTCAATGGTCAGCTCTTTTAGATTAAGAAGGTATTTTTCATCTATTAAAACGTCTCAGAGTTTTAAAAGGTTTTTGAATATATGTTAGGCCTTAGAGCTTGAGTGCTCTCAGGAGTAATGCAAAAACAATGACTTAGTAGTCCTACAGTAAATTAACAAAGTGGTTAAATAATAGTAGGGTTAATCTATATATTGAAACTTTATTGTGAAGTACATCTTTTAATTTGTGGTTTAAAGGAAAGAAGAATGCCAGGCAGCGCTGTCTCTATTTAACGGACGATGGTACGCAGGACGGCAGCTCCAGTGCGAATTCTGCCCAGTGACCCGGTGGAAAATGGCCATTTGTGGTAAAAGAAAACGATGATTTTTTTTCTTGATCGTTCTATTGTTAAATACAGGGGCATTTTTAATAGGAACAAAAATCTTTTAAAGTTTTTAAAAAACACCCAAATTATTAAGCATAGATTTAAGCTTCATATACCTGAGCAGAGATTATTATATTAAGGACGTCACATTTTAGATCTGTAACAGAACTTGTGGATCAACTTATCTCTGATGTAACTGAGGTCACAATGCATTGGTGACAAAGATGGAAATTAGGCTGGGTGTCTGATCTTTGGTTACAAGCTCCGAGTCCTGTACTTCAAGAAGCCATATTTTATGTGTCACATTTCTAGAGATTTCTTCTATTCATTTGCTCCCCTCACTTGAGCCATTTTTTCTTTCGTCTTCGTACTTAATGACTTAATGACTTAATGACTTCTGTCATGTCATCATATCGTATCTTTTGTCCTACATGAAAAACATGCTTTCGTGAGAGAGATTGATTATAATTGTAGGCTATGTATTTTAAAGATGCATTCAGTTACTTTAAAATTTCTATCAGATGGGCTTAGTCAAACTAAGAACTTCAAATCAAAAAAGATCAAGCCCTTTGCCTGTTTGGGGAAAGGATTATTTGTCTTTTTATTAATGAGCTATAAATGTTCTTTAAATGTTCTAGTCTTATGCTCTGCAGACATTCTCTCATATGTAGGGCTTTTCTTCACTTTGAGGCACATTTTTTTAATTTTGATGCAGTCCAATTTTTTTTTCTTATAATTTTGATGTTATATCTGAGAAATGATTGCTTAACCGAGTGTCAACAATATTTATTTGCATGTTTTCCTTTAAAGAATTTTATCCTTTCAGTTCTTACATTTAGGCTTGTGATATTGAGTTGGAGTTAATTTTTATAGATGGTGTTAGGGAGGAAGGTATTTCAGTTTGAATTGTTTTATATAATGTCAGGGAGTTACTGCTTTTCTAAAAAGTTCAAAAGCCCCGCAGGAATTATTCAGATAGATTTCACTTTGTCAAGCATCTTCTGTATTAAAAGAACTAAAATTTAAAACATTAAGGCAATGATTATCACTTTTTTTTTTAAGTATAAGTAAAATATAGATTCCTGCACCTGTAAAAGGTCCCTTTTAGACTAAAAGTTTTGTCTTCCTACCACTGTGCCCTCAAAGCACACTGCCACAGGGACTTTAAAGTCTAGTTTAATGGTCTTAAGTAATAATCTAAATCGTTAATCAGAGGGATGGTGAAACTCTAGAAAAAAATTGTGTGGTCACCATCTGTTCAGTTATTTCTGAACCATAATGCTGTGTGGAAATTGGATATTCTTCTTAATTAAAACTGCTAAGTTGTTACTTTCAGAATGCATATTTTTAGAGCATTTGAATAGTTGTGAAAACCAGGAACTGTAAAATCAATTTACGCAGGCCCCTTTTAAATGATACACAGGAGAAAACAGTTCTGTCACACGCGAACATCAGAGATGTACCTTCTGAGAACGATTGAGTGCCAGCAGTCAGTGCTAACTTCCTCACTGTTTCGTCGCAGGTTTGTTTGAAATACAACAGTGCCCGAGAGGGAAACACTGCAACTTCCTTCATGTGTTCAGAAACCCCAACAATGAGTTCTGGGAGGCTAACCGCGACATCTACCTGTCTCCAGAGCGGACTGGCTCCTCCTTCGGCAAGAACTCGGAGAGGAGAGAGAGGCTGGGCCACCACGAGGAGTACCACGGCAGGCCCAGGCGGAGGAGAAGCCCTAGCCCGCCCCGTTCCTACAAAAGGAATGGAGAAGCAGAGAGGAAAAGGAGAGGCAGCCACAGGGGCAGGAAATCTCACCAGCGCACGTCGAGAAGTCGGGAGAGGCACAGCTCCCGCAGCAGAGGAAGGAAAAGGGACCGCAGCCGGGGCCGGGGCTGCCGGGGCAGCCGCAGCTCCTCCCGGTCCAGGAGTCGCGGCGGGAAGAGGTCACCTAGCAGGGACAGAACTGTTCTGACTTCCAAGTCCAAATAAACCGACTTTGGTTTTACATGGTTCTACATCTTATTTATTGTGGCCAGGAAATACCTGGATAGAGTGCTCTGAGCCCACGTGAGTTCACAAGTTTAACAAATGTAGTGCATCCTATTTCAAAAAACACATGAAAGGTATAAAAATTATAACCCTCAGAGATAGTCAACATTGGACTATTGCTTAGTTGTTTTTATTTGGAAGGGTATGTATACATTTTCTTAAACTTAACTATTAACCCATATTCTTAGGTGATTTTTTTTTATTCATTTTGCATTGTGGACTTGTAACCAGCTTGTGCCACAACATCATTATTCTTTAAACTTATGACTTTCTTGTATTCTGTAACATATCCCTTGCAAAAACAAAGTTGAACACATCAAGAGAAGACAAATTCCAGGGCTAACTAAGCCTGCTAGTAGGTTTCAGATAAGGAACCCAAAGACCACCACTAAGAAACTGGTTTGTGCACAAAAATTACAAGGTAGCATCTGACATGCCTTATCATGACACCTTTTGATGAATTTTTCTTCATTATAATGCTAAAAATCATGCGCAGGTGGAGATTTAACATTAAAACGAGACAATGTATGAGGAAGCCTATTTCAAGCATGTTTGGAAACTGCGCGTGCTCCCTTGTAACTCCAAGAATTCGCCACTCTTCCTCAGCAGTCTCCTACCCCTGAGCGCACACACCCTTTATACACTAGCTTTGCGGAATACTCTCTCTTCCTATTGATGAGAGCGACACCATGTACAATCATGATTTGGGGGCTCTGCCCACCATTGTGTCTGGTGACAGGTCAATTCACTCAACACATCTCTATTATATTTCAAACTTCCTTATGATTTAGCACTATTAATCCTGTCTGGAAACAAAAAAAAAAAGTGATAGTTATTCAAATAATTTTATATTTTGGGGAATCAAATTACATTAAAGCATGCAAAACCAAACTTTCAAGTCCCTCCACACTATGAAAAAGGTACTGTATCACCAATAAATTTTGCTGACTACAACCCAAAGTATTTTATCTTTGCCATAGTAATAAATTTTGTGGTGTCCATTTTTTTACCTAACCTATAGTTAGGTTTTTCTATATATAATATCCATTATATTGATTCTTTTAATGTATATGAATTTTTCCCAGGCATAGCTGAACAACTCTTTCATTTTAAAATTCATTTTCTCTTTTAAAGTACTAAAAACTTTTTTTCCTTCCTCCTACCCCAAATTCTCAGTTCCTCTTAAGTTGCACTTTTATTATCAGGGATATTCATCTTTTTTTGCAATGTGTTATGTTCTTTATACAGAAGTAAATAGTCATTTTCAGTAAAATCAGAGTCATTGCTACTGAATATGTCTAGTGTTAAACCAGTTGTGGTACAGAAATCAAATAGAAGAATTATCAGAGAAGAGCATCTTCTGTAGAAAGCTTAAAAAACCCCTAGATTTCAGGTAAAAGAAACATGCTCCCATATTGTCTTTTCATGTACATTTTGATTATTTCTGTAGTAACTTTCTTTTGATGGACATACTGATGACCTTGAATTTCAGTGTGTAACATCTGGCAATTTCACTTTTGGGTATAATGGACGTTTAGTTCAGGTGGGTTTCTGAGTAATCTCTTAAGGATATCGGTAATTTGCTGTCAATAAAAAACTAGCTAACAATAAATTTCACCTTACAAATCTTAGTTTATTCCAGAATTTAAATGCCTCTACTCTAAGATGGAAAATTATTCTACCTACTGGGCTCATAATGCTGCTTGTCACTAAGTTCAGGTTTTTTCAGCACTTGTAAATACAATCAAAATGACAATGTGATATGTGAAGGTGAGTCTTAATAGTTTATGTGGGGAAAAAAATATAAATATTTTCAGCTCGAAATATTTGAGGTATTAGTGACTTTCTCTCAAATAATAGATACATGGCATTAAAAAATATATCTTGCAAGGAACTATTTAAACCACTGACTGCGTATACTATACTGAAGGTATTCATCTTGAACTAAATAAATATAACATGATTTCAATTTATGATTCAAAAATTCTGATTCCACATTGCCAGTACATGGCCTTCAAAGCCTATTAAATAATAGCTCAAAGGTCATTTAATCATGTAAGTTTGATGGTACTTATTAAACATTGTTTCAGTATTCAGATATTTCATATCTGTAACATCTATAGTAATGTAGCCACTTATTTATGATAACCTATGTTTTGATAACTTTTGGTTTTATACCCTTAGGAAGTATTGTCAGAATGAGTCCTGAATTTTATGTCATATGCTACCACTTCAGTTACAGGAAAAAATGGAGAAGGGTGAGAGGAATAAAATTTTTTTCATTCCCTGGAATAATCTGACTTGTTCATTCACAAAAAGTCAACTGCATAAATGTTTTAAAAGCAGCATTTATTATAAGTAAATATGTACATGTACTCTTGGTAGCACAGAACTCACATTTTAAAAATGATGAAGTGTATGAAAACTTGAATCTTATCTTGTGTGTGCTTACTACAAACACTACATTCAAATGGAGGGAATACTTAACATTTTACAGAAAAAAAATCTAACTGTGCCTACTTTGACTAACTTTTGGAAAGAGATAAGAAAACACTTCAGTGGTAGGCACTGAATATTTATTACAACAGATTGATGTGATAAGATAATGCTAAAGTGGCCTGAATATTGGTTACAATCACAACAGATCTTAAATAGAACCCAGCATACACCTGAAAGTATAAACTGTGAACATACATTTATGTATTGTAGAAGTACTTATAAAAGTGACATTGAAACAATTCTACTTTTTTAAAATGGGTACTGTGAATGACATTGTACCTCATTCAACTCACTTTTATATAAAAGGTTTTTCAAAAAAAGCATTCTGATAAGCAATCAAGTGTCTGTTTTATGTCAAGGAAGGAAGCTGCCCTAGACTTTTCAGTACTTCTAAAGGAAAGCAATAAGGACATCAAATAAATTTGACTTTAACAAGCACCCCAGAAAAACAATCGTTCATGCTTTAAACAATGACTTGTACAACACTTTGTGATAAGAGCAACATGTTTTCTGTCAAGACACTATTATGAATTCCAAATATTTCAAATATATGATCAAATAATTTATGCCTGAAAAAAAGTGCTATTATGAAACAACATGTGTGTATCCTGCCAGGTTCAGAATCCCCATGTAATAATATTTTGTGTAAAATAGCACTGTTCCAACAAAGTATATTTTTCTGACATAGTTTTCAAGTCTTAAAGAGAGACTGATTGGTTTGTAGCACAAATATGATTCAATAAATGAAGTATTAAAATTCTGATTCCTTGAAAACTTTATAAACATATAATAGTACAAATTCATTTTATTTATATAATATTTCCATATACTTTTATGTGACAAAACTACATGATACAACACAATATAGAGAATGTGGTGTCATACTAAATGTTTTAATTTGTTAAATACATCAACATTTAAGACAAAAACCACACTGTTACTTGTTATGCTAACTTGTATTCCAGCTAATTTTTTTAGTTAAACATTTTAACAATTGCAGGTTTTAATCTTAGAATATTAAACACAAGTCATTCATGTCTCATCTTAAAAGATATAAGGACTTAAGATGAAATATTACTTGAACATTCATACTTCTAATTTTTTTCAAAAGAAACTATCATTTGTGAGCATGAATATGGTATAGCAAGATTACATATAGACTGTAAATAAAAGAATAAGGTTAGAGTTCCAGATCGGAAAATTGACAGTTGTAAATATACTGCTTCTTCATAGAGCTGAGAATATCTTCTTTCCTAAGAATATCAGCTCAATATTTTGTTAACACAGTAGTTACATAGTACACTAAAATATTTGTAACATGATAACAATATGTAATACTACATATAATGCATATATCAAGATTAAGATTTCTACCACATTTAGTGCATAGTAAAACAAAAACTTAAATTTTATTGAATTACTATCCACAACCTAAATTTCTGGTTAAATATTTAACTTAGAATGCCCAGGAGTTCAGATTCACCTTTTATATCTACCTTGCTGGATATAATGATGTTATTTAAAAGGACAACTTACAACCTATGAAATACATAAGAACAAGTTAAAAAAAGTAAAACCCACAAAATTCACATGTGTGAGATAGTATCTCATTGTGGGTTGGATTTGCATTTCCTTCGTAGCTAGAAATGATGAGCATCTTTTCATATATTTGTTGTCTATTTGTATGTCCTTTAGGGAGAAGTGTAAGTTTAGGTACTCTACCCATTTTTTTATTGGATCTTTTTGTTGTTGTTATTGAATTGTACCAGTTCTTTGTATATTTGAGGCCCTTATGGGGAGTGTTGCTTGCAAATATATTTTCCCATTTGGATGCTTATCTCTTTATCTTGTTGACAGTTCTTTTGTTATGCAGAAGCTTTTTAGATCGATGTAGCCCCATTCATTTATTTTTGCTTTTACTCCCCTTGTCTTTAAGGTCAAATTCATAAAATCTTCAGTTCCGAGGTTGCTGAGTTTAGTTCCTATATTTTCTTCTATGCGCTTCATTGTTTTAGGTCTCATATTTAGGTTCTTAATCCATTTTTAGTTAATTTTGGTGAGTGGTGATAGACAACAGACTAATTTCATTCTTTTACAGGTGGCTTTCCAGTTTTCCAGCACCATTTATTGAAGAGGCTTTCTTTTCTTCACTGGGGTTTTTGTCAAAAATTATTTGCCCATATAAATATGGGTTTACTTCTGGACTCTCAATTCTGTTCCACTTGTCCGTGTCTGTTTTTCTGCCAATAGTATATGAGCTTTGGTTTTGGCAACTCAGGGTCTTTTATGCTTCCATACACGTCTAATGGGTTTTTGTTCTATTTATTTAAACAATGCCGGTGGGATTTTGATGGGGATTGCATTAAATCTGTATAAAGCTTTAGGCAATAAGGTCTTTTTAACTATGTTGATTCTACCAATCCCCAAAAAATGGAATGTCTTTCCATTTCTTTGTATCTTCTTCAATTTCCTTTAATAGGGTCTTATAGGTTCTTCACATGTTTTGTTCCTAGGTATTTTATTCTTTTTGTGGCAATTTATTCCTAGGAGTTTTATTCTTTTTGTGGCATTGCAAAAGGAATTCTTTTTTCCACTTATTTTTCTGACACTTCATTATTAGAGTATAGGAATGCTATGGATTTTTGAATGTTGATTTTGTATCCAGAGACTTTACTATATTTGCTTATTGTGTCTAGTAGTGTTGTAGTAGGAGTCTTTAGGGTTTCTATATGGAAAATCATGTCATCCACAAATAGTGACAGTTTGACTTTGTTTTCTATTTGGATGTCTTTTATATATTTCTCTTGTCTGATTGCACTTGCTAGGACCTCCAATGTTATATTGAATAACTGGTGATGGTGGACAGCCTTGCGTTGTTTCTAATCTTAAAGGGAAGGTTTTTAGTTTTTCACCATGAAGTATAATGTTGACTGAGGGTTTGTCATAGATGGCCTTTATTATGTTAAGGTGCTTTCCTTCTATACCGATTTTGTTAAGTGTTTTGATTATAAATGGATGCTGTATCTTGTCAAAGGCTTTTTCTGCATGGATTAGTAAGATCATATGATTCTTATTTTCTCATTTGTTTATGTGGTGTATCACATGAATTGATTTGCTTATGTTGAACCATCCCTGTACCCCTGGGATGAAACCCACTTGATCATGGTGTATCATCTTTTTCATATGTTGCTGCATTTGTTTTGCTAGTATCTTATTTAGAATTTTTGCATCTGTGTTCATGAGAGATATTGATGTTTAGTTTTCTTTTTGTGTGTTATTTACAGGTTTTGGTATCAGGGTAATATTTGCTTCATAAAATGAGTTGGGAAGTATTGCCTCCTATTTGATTTTTTGTAAGAGTTTGAGGAGAATAGAGTAAGTACTTATTAATATCATCATCATCATTATGTTAAGGAAAATAATAAATATTTTATTGTTTGGTATCGTTACCTAAAAGTAAAAGGGCTTTAAAAGTGAAAGGCAAAAAGCATCCAGTTGTGATCAATAAGAACAGTTACAAATCAGGAAGCATTGATTCCAGCAGAAGCCCAGATAGTGTTCTAATTAAGAGGCAAAGGCAAGGGGTGTTCATGAGAAAGGAAAGGTACAATGACATCATATTAGGAAGGCATTGCTATTGCTACAGATAGTGTGATATAGTGATACTAATTCTAAATAATGTTTTAAATTTTCAGTCATAATATCTACTTTCTTGTTATTTTTATAAACAGTTGTTTGGGACACAAAGTTGCTTAGGTCCCTACAAATGTTGTTTTACTCTGTTTTATTTGCCAAAGTTTTGAGACATAGGACATGAAAGGTAGTTTCACAGAATTTGAAATGGCACCTCTGACTCCACTTATTATTTTTTGACAGTAATAACTAAAATTTTAAGATTTTTTATTAGCTATTTCTCACAAAGGACCCGTAAAAATAAGGTCTTTTGCTAGTTTTTCAAGAAATAAAAAATAGCTGATGCCTTTTAAGAGTTGATCATTGTTTCAATTTCCATACTAAGCAGCCTATTTAGATTTTCCATTTCTCTTGATTTGGACTAGAACAATTGTATTTTTTTAAGTATTGGTCCATTTCTTCTAGTTTATTAAATTTGGTATTATATACTTTTTCATAGTATTCTTGTATGATCTTTTGCATTTCTGTGGTGTCTGTCATAATTTCCCCTGTTTCATCACTGATTTTGTTTATTTATGTCCTTTCTCTTTTTTCTTTAGTGAGTCTAGCCAGGGATTTGTCAATTTTACTAATCTCTCATAGAACCAGCACTTTTGCATTTTTTCCTATTGATTTTTTGTTTTCAATTTCATTTATTTCTAGTCTAATTATGGTTATTTCTTTCCTTCTGCTAACTTTAGGCCTCATTTGTTCTTCCTTTTCTAATTTTTTAAGATGAAGCATTAGGTTGTTTATTTGGGCACATTCTTGTTTTTGGAGATAGGTCTGTTTTTGCCTATCTCCATTTTTGCCGTGTCCCAAAAGTTTTGATATGTTGTACTGTCATTGTTATTCATATCTGTGTATCTCTTGATGTCTCTTTTTATTTCTTCCCTGACCCAGTTATTCTTTAGTAGCAGGTTGTTTAATCTCCATGTATTTGTCGCTCTTTCCACTTTCTTTTTACAGTTGATCTCCAGCTTCAAAGCATTATGATCAGTGAATAAGGCTGGTATGATTTCAACTCTCATATTTATTGAGGCTATCTCTATGTCTCAGTATGTGGTTGATTCTTGAGAATGTTCCATGTCCACTAGAGAAGATTGTATAAACAGCTGTTT